ATCACTACACTTTCACTTTTTGGGGTATTTAAATCTGTTATGCATTTTTTTTTTATTTTTTTGTGTAATTTAGGTATGAAATGTATTTGTGTAATGCATTATTTATATTGATTTTTATGCATTCATGTGCACGATGGAGATTTTTTTAGTGTATCTCTAATTATTAGATCATGCCACTGTTTTTTGATTTATTACTTTTTGGGTCTGTCACCATTTTAGTGCTAGCTGGCTGGTTTGCTGTGCCCGTTTTCACAAGCATGGCAGATTGGAAGCAGTTTGAAACCGCAAACCACTCCATGTGCCGTGAACATTGTTTCCTATGGTGGCGTTCCATATGTCCTGTGCAAACTGGCAGTGCAATTTAGCGTGGATTCAGTGCGGTTTGAAATATAGTCATGTACAATTTCTGAACAGTGTGGTCTGGGTTCAGGTGTGGATTACAGGCTATTGACGTCTATGGTAACCATTCTAAACTGCACGTGTTGAACTGGATATATTCCTGGTTAGCCATTCCCCTGGAGGGTATTCCGAGTGTAGCTCAGGGTAAAGTTTCAGCACCACAAGCGGTAATCCCGAGCTACACTCGGGAATAACCCTGCAGCGTTGCTCCGGGATCTGTTCTTCTCTTACCTTGTCCTTCGCTCCCACGATGTCCCTCCTGCAGTGTCCCCGTAATGTCCTCCAGCGGATGCCGGCATCTGTCTTCTGGGTGCCGTCCCCTGTGACGTCGGGACGTACAGGGACAGAACAGCGGGAAATTAGAAAATTACAAAAAGTGACATTCACTAAATTCACTAAAATCACATAGTATTACATTACTGTATCACACCATTTCACATACATTTTGTCCCGAGTGCTTTGTCCCTGCGCCCTGCCTGCATTTTTTACTGTTTCTTTCTGCCTGGAAACTGAGAAACGTCCATGGCATCCAAAAAGCGTCCCATTTAGGTCAAAATCGGTTTTTTAGACCAACTAGAGAATAGCGATAGTAAATTAGAACCACTTGCAGAATTGAGTGATAATGATTCGTGGGGAAATTCGTCATCAAACACTGAAAATGATTTTGCGACTTTGCTCAGTGATGTGCGAACTTGGGCGCTATATTTCAAATGTCACTGTTTTTGGTTTGATTATATTATTGAATTAAATTTATTATTATATTATTATTTTTTATGATCATTTATTAAATTATAATTTATGATTTTGTGTTTCAAGTTTTATCATACCCGGGATGTTTACTAGACTCTTGTTCGCTACAGATTTCAGTGAGTTTATTCCTAAAAATTACAGCCTACAATAAAAAAATACATATTTCCATGCAAAAAAATGTACCGCTTTGAGCACAGAAATATGGACATAATCAGAAACCGCTAGGGAGGTTAATCCTGTCTGAACCTGATGTTAACCTGACATGAACTGCTGAATAACTACTTTGTCAATTAGCTGTGAGACCTGAGCTTCATCCGCACCGCACATGTGCGAATCAGCTCTAAGTACTCACTTTAATCCAGTTTGCGTTAGTTAAAAATACATATACTGACCATATTCCAATAGCTGCAAGTTGGGAGAAATATTCAAAGACCACCAGTAGATGGCAGTATCAGTCCATTTTTTTTAATGTTCTAAAGGGATAAGCAGGGCAGCCATCAGAAATTTTGGAGCTCCTTACACAGCTTTAGATCTGGGCCCACCTGGTTCTGACCACCAACATTCCCCAAGGCCCGCCCACTGACTGTCCCACCGAATCTACCCACTGGTCATCCCACCGAGTCCTTCAGTGCAACCATTTTTATTTGAACAATCTTACTACTTAATAAGTGTCTCTGATAAGGAAGCAGGATGCCACATAATACTTTTTTCTTTTATAACATCGGCCTCAAACCTTGTCACTCCGTGGAGGTGGAGGGCTCCATTCTGGAGGGCTGTAAAGAGTTGCCATAAACTTGGGAACAGATGATAAGAACTTAGTGCTACACTTTAACCCTCAATTTGAAATCCATGAAGACAAGCAGAAGATACTCGCGAACTCGATGGAGGACAATGCCTGGGGAGAAGAACTGAAGGAAAGCTTCTTCCCTTTCCAGGAGAGGTCAGACATCACAGTTTGCTTCCATTTTGAGCAAGACAATCGATCGCCATACAATTGCCTACCGGAAATCCTTTCATTTCCAGTCCGCTTTCCCATAGTGGAAATCTCATACTTGGGCCATGAGAGGCCTTCAGTTCAAGTCCTTCACACTAAAATGAAAAAGCCCGCAATAGAGGAGCCGCCTGTCCCACATGTTCATACCCAGGCCATGAAATGGCCATAGTGGATGAAGGAAAATAAAATTCCTTTATCCTGTTATGTAAAACCCTCCCTCCAATCTCCATCCTTGCTGCTCATGTAGCCATACATTGGGCTTTGCTCAGTTCATTGACTAGAAATGAATTTCATCCACATTTCAAATCAAATCCAACTTAGTGTATGAAAAGTGTATTCCATGTCATCAGTTCTTTCAAGATTTAGGAATTATATTTTGGCCAAAAAATATGAAGCCCGCCACCACAGCAAGATAGACTCTTGAGCAGGACCCTACACTAACACTAACTGCACTACCTTTTCAGTCCCATCCCCCCAGCAATTATCTGCAGATAATGCACAAAGTGCATCCTGAAGGAATCCTTGCAGATAATCGCTGGCAAGGCAGAAAGCCACAGATACCTGCAGCCACCACTGACCTGTTATAGAAATCTACAGAGCTAGGAGTAGCAAGAAGAAGAATGGATGGTGAGCTAAAGGCATAGTTTACCTTTACCAAAAAACTGTTAATGCAGATAAAGGACATCTTTAGATGAGAAACAAACTATTCAGCTTTGGACGAAGTTGAATAATGTCCTTGCTATAGTTGTAGGCCATTTATATACTTCATGAAGCCTGACTGGAACACTCCCAGGACTTTGCTAAGAGACACCTAACTATTACTGCTCACCTCCACCATCACAGGAGTGAGATCTTCTCCGATTCAGACCCATCACATGCTCATTCTCTCCCCTGATGCAGTAGCTCAGAGTTCGGCATCTGAAAGCTCGCTCCTGTGATGGCAAAAATGACAGTAACAGCTAGGTGTCTCTTAGCAATGTCCTAGATGTTTTCCAGTCAGGCTCCATGAAGTATATAAATGGCTTACATCTACAGCAAGGGCCTGCTTCAACTTTGGTCAAAGCTGACTGGTTGCAACAGACAACAATAAAAATATGTTCACATTTAGTTGGTGAACTCTTAAGAAGCATTTAGTACCCTGATAAACCTGTTCTTACTTGTCTCCAGAGTCCAGATATGATGTCAGTGGAAGAAGCGCCTGTTCCAACAAGCTCAGCATCATTATGTACACTTTGTATTTCAGAAAATTTTTTATCAGGAATTTCCTAATATCGTTTTCTGAAATAGGAAAAAGCAGAACGTTTGTTTTATCACCAAACCCTCAGAATTGAGGATCTTTTGGCTGTGATTACAGAACATCACTACTTCCTACCACAAAGCCAGCCACAGAAACAGAAAGTTAGGAGTTAAAACAGAACCGTTTTAGTCCCACTCAGTGGGGCTGTACCTGCAATGCATGGGTTAACTGCTCAGTTTTGTCTAGGCGTGAAGAGAGCCAATATATACTTGCCTAATCCAAGGATCCTAGGTTTGAATTGAACTTGAGTTGGACCTGAACACAGCCTGACTAAGGTCTGGCGGATGCGTGAACAAAATGGCCAGATTTGGACAGTGCACCCCCACAATTCCAAAATTTCTGGTCACTTTGTTCACTAACAGAAGCAGGCCCGGGATCTGTCTTTGGTGGCAGTAAATACCACAGCAGGTGTTTCTAAGCTGTATAAACAGGAGCCAGGCGCTGTGTAGTTTTGTTATAAAAGTAATACACCTTGTATGGAGGTGTGCCTTTAATAATTCATATGGTAAAAAAATAAATAACCAGCCTGTGGCTTTAGCAAGCCAGGTTCCAAGATGGACGGCCCGTCCGCTCAGAGGGAAGCAGTCCATCTTGGAACCTGGCTTCCTAAAGCCACAGGCTGGTTATATTTATTTTTTTACCATATGAATTATTAAAGGCACACCTCCATACAAGGTGTATTACTTTTATAACAAAACTACACAGCGCCTGGCTCCTGTTTATACCTCCCACAAACCAATGTGTTTTTACCATGGCAGCAGTGAGTTTTTTCCCCACCAATCATAGTTGACATATACCATGCACTTATTTCCTTTGGGACACATCTGTGCGCTTTTATCCAGACCGTTTCTAAGCTGTAAGATACTAACTGAATTTGACTTTAGAGTCTTTGTTGTGATTTGTGAGGATCTTTCAAAGTGAAGAAAGTGACAGAGGTCAGTGGTGACTTAACTGTGTGTGGTTATTGCACTGTAAAATGCCAGTCACCCACTAGGACATGCAAAAAAACAAACAAATATTTTCTATGTATTCTATTTACAATGCAATGCAGGCCAGTCGGCTGCGATAAAATGCAGCGATACTGTATTTTATTGCTGAGCACTGTACAGGATCGCATGGCACGGTATAGCAGTGCAACACATCATGCTGCTGTACAGTGACATGAATGAAGTGTACTTTTGTACATGCCAAATAAAGTTTTTTTTTAAGAAAGGGAGCTATGTAATGCACTGAATTGTGCACCACACTGCCCCCTACTGCAGTTGGAATGAACAGCTGCCAGAGAGGTAACGTGCTCTAGCAGCTGTCTGTTTCAGTGTGAGTTTACAAGTATGCAGGAAGGTAAAATAAATCTTAAAGTGGTTGTAAACGTAAAAGGTTTTTTAACCTTAACCACTTGCCCTCCTGAGAGATTTATGCCCCTTCCTGACCATGCCATTTTTTGCATTACGGCACTGCGTTACTTTAAAACTGACATGCAGTCATGCACCCAAATGAACTTTACGTCCTTTTTTCCCACAAATTGAGCTTTCTTCTGTTTTTTGTGTTTATATTTTTTTGCACTATAAAAAAAAGACCAACAATTTTGAAAAAAAAACAATATTTTTGACCTTTTGCTATCAAACATGTCCAGTAAAAAAATTCAAAAAATTAAATTTCGTCAGAAATTTAGGCCAAAATGTATTCTGCTACATGTCTTTGCTAATAGAAAAACCCAATACGTGTAAATCAGTTGGTTTACATGAATGTTATAGCGTTTACAAATGGCGGTAAAGATACTTGAAATTTTTTAAAAATTTTTTTTTACTAGTAATGGCGGCAATCAGCAACTTATAGCGAGCATTTTGACACTGGGGTGAAACTGACTTGGTTTCTTGGTGCCTCATGTGCTCCTCCTACCCGGGGATGCAAAATCCCGTATATCTGCTATTGGGCGGTTGGGAAAGCAGTTAATGTATTCTCTGCATTAAGGTAAACAAAACTTTTTAGGTACAGCCCCTGCTGCGCTACTTATTATAAAGTGAATGAAACAATCAACATGAAAAAACTCATAAATATTGTGCAAAGTGGACAACCCATATAATCAATGCTAAAACAACGGGTGTAGAAAGAACAATAAGTGTACCAAATAACAACAAAAGATGAAATGTGACCGAAAAAAAAAAAAAAAAAAAAAAAATATATATATATATATATATATAATAAATATAAATATAAATAGTAAATGCGCTAAATCATCAAGTGAAAAAGTGATCAGTAGATAAATAGATACATGAAAAATGTTATAAATTGTGACAAATAATGGCAAATGGCAAAAAATGTGACACAGAAAATGAGTAGATAAAATGAGAACAAATAGTCCCAAATGCACAACAGACAGTGAATTTTCAGCACAAGCCATGAAACATCAGTGACCACAACAAACGGCCAATCCTTCACCAGCTAGCATGCATGCTCACCTTCCAACTGTGACCCCCAAGGGGTCACAGACCGATGATCTCAGACCAGATGAATCTCAGTAGTAAAATAAACCGAGGAATCCTCTACATGGTAAAATACATCCAGCAGTACCACAGATGTCCTTAAAAGTGTGTGACCTTAGATCTCCTTCTGCTCCAATATCCTCACATGAAAGGATAAAAAAAAAGCTCCCATAGTGTAGTAAGTTAAAAAGCCTTTATTAAAAAGACACAAAAAAACTACTCACATGTGAAAAACGGGTCTGCAGACCCATACAGGCAATCACTGTATCAAAACAGTACAGGGTGTATGAGGTTGGGAGTACCAAGACGGCAGCTGCCATCCGTACCGGAAATGACGTCACCACACTTCTGTCCTACGTGTTATGTCACAAATCACGTGACTTCATCAGGGCCCGGCTGCTGTCAGTCAAAACCTGTGAACAGAGAGCGGGGAGGGGCTGAGCCAGGCTGTGTGTGTGAATAGAATGAGCATGCATGTGTGTCTTGGGCCTTCATTCAGTGGTAAATGGTAACGAATATCTCCAGATTTTATTTATCAAAGGAAACCTGGACAAAAAATAGTGAATAAAAAAATTCCCTGAAATTCATCTGTATTTGTTTTAACCCGTAGTAGGGCCCAGAAACAATGTTTTGCATTTTATTTTAAAACATAAAACATACTGACATTGACCTTTTCCTGTGCCACCTGTCACTGACCCTAACAGTATCCTAGATCAAGCCTATATATATATATATCACATAAATTAACCCTTAAAAGTGATTCAGTAGCGCAAATAATGTGAATAAATGTGAATAAAAGGTGAAAGAATAAGGTCCAAAGAAAGTTCTTATCCACCAAATAACTCTTCAATATCTCCTTAGTAAATCAGCATGTGTAAAATAAACTCGTGTCCACCTTTCGGGTATACACTCACCAAATGTGATGACTCCCATTCTTATGGTTGGCTAAAATCGCTCAATGAGTACCTCCTGAAATTTTTGGATTTCCTAAAGCAGAAAAGGGACTTATGATGCATAAAAGGAAAAGCCTCCTTTTTTAAATACTCCGCTCTCAAAGGGGTAGTGGGCCTACGTAGAGTTCCCCCTGCTGTTCCCTCCCAAAAGACCGTGAAAGTGAAAATTTAAAGGTTTAAACGATAGGGGCACAAAATGGAAAATTTTTCGGGGGGTTCAGAGTCCCTTGGTCCGTTTAAGGGCCCGACCCCCACTGCGCCCGAAACGGTTTTTATTTGCAGCAGCTCCGGAACCTGAACAAACTAGCGCGTTTTTTTTTTGTAAAATATTTAAAATGAATCACCATTTGGGGGGGGTGTTCGCCCTTTTAAAACTATTATAATGCGACACATGTTGGTTAGTGGTTTTGCACATTTTGCCTTGGGGTAAAAAAAG